CCCCAAAACCCCAAAACCCCAAAACCCCAAAACCCCAAAACCCCTTGTTGATAAAGTATGTTGAATATCAAATATGGACAGTCCATGCTTTATAAAACTCTTTCAAATGGAAATATTCACAAGGGAACTAGAATGAGGCTTCTGAAACACCGCTGAGACTTCTTGAATCAAGTATGGAATTAGTCTACTGATACCAAATCTCTAGTCTTGGCATAATATTTGACTAAAAGTACAGATTTTTAACTACAAAGTTTACTAAATTTCATTGGCTTTTTAGCTCATTAAAATGTGTAGATACCAAAAGATACTCAAGAGATCAGTCTTCACAGAATTCTGAGCTGGCTAGAAGGTTCTTTATGACTCCAAGAATACTTTAAAATCGATTTTAAAATTATCCGAAGATGACTCAAATTCGAAAAATATGAGTTAAAACAAGTTGGAGGGTTTTTTACTTCCTAATTGGCTGTTTTGAGCTCATTTGGGTAAACTACAGGATCAGAAGAATCTCATTAATTTGTCAAAAATAAAGATAATTAACCAAGTTTATACCGTGGATGATCCCTGAAAGCTTGATGTAGCTTCAGAGAGAGCTCAATACTCACTGATGATATTAAAGTCTACTCTGATCATCAAAACTTGTTGAGAAATCTGAGTGTTTATTAATTTCTCAGTTAGAATTTCACCACTTTTGCTTAATACAAAATTTGTCAGTAATTCATCCAGAAGACTGAACAGGAGCAGGATTGGGCTATTATAATCGAATAAATACAGTCTAGAGTCTGCAGATGCTTTTATAGCCTTGCTTTGGTACAAAAGCCAAGGTCTCACTTTGGCTTAAGCTCCTGAATGTTTTTATTCAAGTCCAGAAATTCATAATTTCATAAAAAATTATGAAGAAATCATTTGTAAAAATCCAAATTCATGTAAAAATTCTTGAAAATTGGACTGAAAGTTAGAAAAATTAACAATTTTTCCTCGAGATCCCATCTATTTTCTCTAAATTCTTGCTAAAATGATCATTATTATATTATATTTCATGACGGAATGGAAGAAATTTTTCTTAAAAGCTTCTTCATAGACTTTGACCCCAAAATGAGGAAATATTATTATACCTTCTACCAAGAATTGTCGGCAAATACCTAGACAGATGATTATGGAGAAGGATTCTTCGAAGATATGCCTATTGAAGCTCTTGGTCCTCCTGAAAGGAGGGCCAAGAGCTCAATGTCCATTAATCAGGGAGAAAGCATCCCTTTACTTAACATAACTATCTTCTCAGAATAATTAATATTTTTATCTTAAAATCAGGGATTACTACCAATGCTCACACTTGAGCTCAGTATCTCCGTGAATGGATCCAAGCTAGCAAATTTTGAGTATTCCTGCTTAATCAAAGGCATCTGAGCTTTCGGGCAGTCCGCTTGTTGGTTGAAGTCTTTCTCTCTGTTCATTATATGCGAGAAGTTCTCAAAGATACTATCAGAGGATGCTCTCCCACTATTTGGCTTCAGAGCCAGACCAAGTGAAGGATTCTCCCAAGAAGCTTTGTCTTAATTTTACGCATAAAATTTGTTAAGAGAAGACAAGACGAAATTATTTAAAGGATACATATATAAAAATTCTTCAATTTTGTTATCATCCTTTTCTTGGTTTACCCTAATTTAAGACAAGAGCATCCTAAATTTTTAGGCGTGGCTGCCTGTATCAGAGCTTTTAAATTGGGGCAAGAGAGTACTAAAACTAGCTAGTAATGGAGCAATTAGATACTTATCTCAATTGCTCTCATTCCTCGTCCATCTTCTTTTCATGGTTCAAAACTTTGTGCATAAAAATTATACATGGCTGCTTCAAGTCTGACTAGCTCTCATAGTGGAGCAATCAGTAGCCAGTCTGATCGGCATGATGCTTATAATAGACTTAATGAAATCAATACAACTGAGCATACTCATAATAATCCTTCTTCAAAATCTCTATCCAGCACTAATCCCAATTTATTCACTGCAGGCTCAGTCCTAGATACACCAAGATAAGCATTCCATCGAACGATTATTAATTTCCAAGAACAAGTTTTACCACTCAAGGAAGATACGCTTAAAAATATAGTCAAAAATCGAACTGAGCCATCTCAATCGTTAATAATAGAAGCCTAGAGGAGCCAGATATTCGTCTACAAAGAGGGCTCATGAAATCTATCCTGAACTAACTCTTGAAAGATACTTTTTAAAGTACCTATCCATCAGCCTGAAAAAGTAATTAAAGAATCTCTTTGGCCAACCTGAAATTATCGGGATTTTGTAATGTCTTAATGTTCTGGCTTTACTAGCAGCCCAGAATTATCATACATTGGTCAGGATTAAAGTTAGAAGCCATTCATAGGATTCATTTCAGAAGAGGTCAATAATCATGATTCCCTAACATGTTCATGAAAAAATTCATTTCTTAGACTTGCAAAAGTTAGTTAGAAATGATCTCAGTAATCATATTATAGTTTGGTCTTGTTGTTCCTTCTAATTGAACTGATAAGATGCTCTTAGCTTACCAAATAGTATACAAAAAGAGTCATATATACTTTGAATTGGTCTAAATGGCTGGGTAAAAATATCTAAATCTCTCAAAACACAGTGAAAGATGATTGTTTCCGCCTCTCCAAAATCTCAGAACTATCCGAATCTTTCATCACGGCTCTCCTAATCCTAAAGTACCTCATCATATCTACTATAAAATCCCAATTTGTTCACGACTGGCCCACTACAATATTTCTGAATAGAATTAAGCCACTAGTCCTGAGTGGAGCGCCTCTGTGGGACAGTGGCAGAAGGAATAGAGCAGAGAGGGGAAATTTAGGGAGTTAAGCTAGAATTTTGGGATGAAGAATCGGACATGGTTCAGAAAAAGGTCTGGAAGTGGCCATTATGGGTCTGAGAAGGGGTTTAAACGGCTGTTTTAGGGATTTTGGGGAATTTAATTGGGTCCTTAGTGAGTGGTTACGGGAGGTTTAGAAGTCAGGGTATGATATGTAGCTGTTGGTCTGGGTTGCCATCTTTATCCAAAACATTACTTTTGAAATTATTTTATAATCACTGAAAATTTCACTCAAATTGCATAAATTGGATAGGTTCCGAGAGATCTATTTAGAGGCTCACAGAAGAAAAATATTTGAAAAATAATACTAATAACTCAAATAATTTCATCTATCCCTTGGCAGATCTCTTCTACAAGATTTGTATTAGGAGGAATTAGAAGGTACTGAGCAGTCTTTTGATCAAGACCAAAGATTAGTAACATTATAAACAAGTTTTCCTATTAAGACTGAGCTTCATCTCAAACTCCCTTCCTTTCATAAGGTCGTAAACATATGAATTTCTGATCAAAATTGCACAAAAATTCTTTCTGCTGGAGTCACCAGTTCAAATAGATACAAAGGTGAAGCTCTTAATATCAAAATATATTTCCTTAAGCTCAGTAAATACGGCCATCATTTCAGTCTCCGATAGATTTAATAACGAATAAATAATTCGAAATTAGTATTAGCTTTCCATCTTTAACTTGAAGAATAGATTTAGCTAAATAACGAGCTTTTCCAACTCAAAAAGCTCGTAATCATACCAAAATGAGGGCAAGAGGAGGCTATCCTTCCATAACATGGTGATCCAGATTATAATAATCAGAGGTTATAAATTTCAGCTACTTTTCCCTCAATGGTCAGAAAATATAGATAGAACCCCCAATTGTCTAAAACAAGGTCATGAGGCTGCAGAACTGGCTGAGCTTAAAAATTGCCCCTCTAAACTCATACAGGAGTTAAAAGTATCAATTGGGATCAAACCTGAAACGATTCAAAATCACATTGCTTAAAATAACATATAGTTTTCGGCATAACTAACCTCTTGGTCTATCCAATATTCTACTGGATTTCTCTGAAATTCTGCTAAAATTTGTCCTTAAATACACTTAGAAAGCAAGGATCAATTACTTTCCCACAATAAGAGCAGGTCCAGGCCAGAGGTCAATAAACGACTACACCTCATAAGCATCGAACCTCCGGTAAGTCACGACTAGGATCAATTTATTTATGAACTTCTGATACCTAACTAAACCTCCAAAAGATGCTCAAAAATTTCAAAAACAAAGGCTAGGGTAATTTTTTGCCAATTCTCGTCTAAAACAGGCCAAATTAGGCTCCCTCAAGCTCTTGTGCGACTCAGAGCGAGCTCTTCTAAAAAATATGAAATTCTATTCTCAAAATCCAAATAATGAACTTCTAAATAAACCTCTGATTTGAAATTTTCATAAGCCTAGAGTCTATCCTTCATTGCAATTACTGATAGAAGTAAATCTGAAGGGGTGGGAGACCCAGAACTTGTGCTAGACTACCTCCGAGTTTACGTTCTTGGTGAATAGCCTATTGTTTCTGAAGTTCGGTACCTGAAAACTAGCTGTTTTTATGCACACGAATTGATACTTAAGCATAAAAACTTTCGCTAATTAGCACATGCGAGTATTTCTCTCTCAGTTTGAGCAATTAGATAGCATTTTGAAATTATATGAATATTTCAGACTCTGAACGTTCGATTAGGCAAAGTCTCTCGTTATTTAACTTGCTAGCTAAAACAAGGCATGCTAGCCAGGATTATTATAAGATTTACCAGACAGCTATTTTCTCAAGTCGAGCGTACCCTAAATATCCGTAAATAGTTTTATTCATAATGATAAATAGATATGGCCTCATAACGAACAAAGGTAGGTATAAATTTTACCGTAAAATAATTTTCAGACTTCGCAAGTCAACCAAATTTAGCCCATGAGATAGCTCTCAGCTCATTTTTAATAAACCTCTCTTCTATCTATCAACGATAAGCTAAAATTATTTCAGAAAGCCCTCTAAAAGTTAGTGGAAGATCTTTCTGCTCTCCAAGTTTTGAGGGGGAGTTCATCCTTTAACTAAGACCAGAAATTCATGGAGAAGTCATAAAGTTGACATTTTGTTAAAATAAGAATTTAAGACCTCTCATTTGCATAGATCCTCCTTCTTAGCCAAAATAAGTAAGTTACAAATTTTCTAATATGTGTTACAACAATATATAAAAAAAGAATTTGTAGAATCTATAATTAATATTTTAAACAAATGAACTGTAAGAATTTCCCTTCAAAACCTTGCCTCATCAGCACATTTAGTCTGAAGAGGGAGGCCTAAAGCTATTTCCAACTCCTGACTCCTATCTGACCATAATTTATATAGTAAGCCTACCAATCCCAGAGAACTTTGAAAAATTCTTCTTCAAAAAGTACTGTCCGTGAGCAATCCTAGGACAAACAACACAATTTGTGAATACTTCTCAGGCAATTGAGAGCTCTTCAAAGATAAATGCTTTAGCATCCTCGGCTGAGCCTAGCCAGGCTAAGCCTAGCCAGGCTAAGCCTAGCCAGGCTAAGCCTAAGAAGAATCATAGGACTCATTCCAAAAGAATTCTGAAATACTACAGATTTAATCTAATGGCTGATAAGTTATACGAATACCTATGAACTGATGGCTCAAACCCAGATGACGTTGTAGTCTATGCCTCAACCAAATCCACTGCCAAGCTTGGCCCACGTAGCGGGACAAGATCTGACTACATTGGAGTCTCTCGTAACGGAGACCGGTGGCAATCATTCATTACAATGAGGAAGCGCAAGACATACATAGGCTCCTTTGATACCGAGATGGAAGCCGCAGTTGCCTTCGATTTCCATTGAATCTTATTCCATGGGCTAAAGGCTAAAACAAATCTGAATTACAGCAAGATAGAGTTGATTAACATGGTCCAACGCTACAAAGCCAACGGCAACCAGCTGTAGATCCCAACTCCCCCCATTTTGTAACAGCTTTTCCTCTTAAATATCATGAATAACATTTCTTTCAATAGATTTCAATTTCAATATATTGGAATGAATAAGGGGTTTTGGGGTTTTGGGGTTTTGGGG